CATTCTTGTCCCATAAATAACAACTTGTTCGACAAACTTATCAACGCATTTAATTGCCTCAATCATTGTAGTCATTTTATTCATTTATTCAATCATTCAATTAATCATTCTTTCAATTCTTTATTTGTTTGTTCCTTCATTTATTCACTCGTTCTTTCATTCATTCATCCATTCGTTCATTCATTCGTTCAGTCAGTCAATCAATCATAATTTAGTTTTTAAAATTTTGAATTAAATCATACAATTTATCTAGAGCTTAATACTTTAATTCGAAAAATAATTTATGTGGCGTTTGATGTTTGTATCTTCATCGTCATCCTTGTGTATGCATGCTCTCTACGTTACGTTTCTGTGTTCTTGTGGGAATGTGCTTGTGATAATTATTTATGAGATGATTAAGTCATCCCAACTATCCTTTTATAGCGCGCAATTTTTAGTGGTTTTGAGTATATGCTCTCTTTATTTATTTATTTTTATTTAAATTTGTGTAAATTAATTAAACAATTAATTGAAATGTTGTTACAATTTAAATTGATGTCAATCCAATTGGGAGCAGACAGCACACAATATTTTATTTCATTGTAAAATATTTTTCAAATTGAGGTTCATGTAAAACGAAAAATCTAATCGAAAGAATTATTTTTCTGTTTTTCTCTCTCAGTTTCTCTCTTCTTCTTATCATTCATTTGTCTCCCCCCCTCTCTCACTTTCTGTCATTCTCTTCCTTTCTCTTTCATATCTAGACTTCCTCTGTTTTATTTTCTTTTTTTTTATAACTATAATCGCTCATTCTATAACTTTTTTGTCCCCCCCTCTCTCTCTCTTTCTCTTTCTCTCTCGCTCTCTCATTTTCCATTTCTCTAATTTTATTTTTTTTATTTTTTCTCACGTTTCTTTAATTTTCAGCATCCTTTTCTTCCATCGTTCAGTTTTTTCCTTTATTAAATCATCTGAAGCATTTAAGTTGCTATCATTTTTCATTTTCATCACAAGTGACGAGTTTCCTGCGTGTGTGTATGTGTGCATGGGTGCATGTATGTGTGCGTGTGCGTGTGTCTCTGACTGTGTGTATGTGTCTGTCTGTGTGTATGTGTGCTCTTTTCCAATGTAAATTGGTTTTAAATCATAAATGTGTGTGTCTGTCTGTCTGTGTGTATGTGTGCTCTCTTTCAATTTGAATTGGTTTTAAATCATAAATATGTGTGTGTGTGTGTGTGCGTGCGAGTGTACGCGAATGATGAAAATTTCTTATAATCCATCTAATGCCTTTTTGTGTACCTCGAAACAAAAATATCCATTCCATTGTTTAAATATTTTTCCGTTTCTTCGTGCGGTGTTTGTGATTGAAAGAGAGAAAGAGAAAGAGAGAGAGAGAAAGAGAAAGAGAGAGAGAGAGAGAGAGAGAAGGAAAGAGAGAAAGTGTGTGTCTGATTATTATTAATCGGGCTAATGTTTTTTTCTTGCCTCAAGGCAGCAAAAACTCCATGTTATTATCACCAATAGCATTTTTCGTTCTCTCAGTTTTGAATTTTTTCCCCTTTTTTAAACAGGTCACTCTTTTTTTTATAAACTAACACAACAACGTTGCTTTGCAGTTTTGTATTTTAACACATACTCGCACGCACGCACACGTTTACACATTGACACACATACACACACATACATACACACACACATACATACACACACGCACGCACACACACACAAAGAATAATTTACAAATATATAAACATTGTGTGTGTGTATTTTTAAAGTTAACTTTCAATAAGTATTTTTTTGGTATTAAGATGTAAAATCTAAAAAATTGTGTATGTGTTTGTGTGTATGTGTGTTTGTATTGATGTATGTTTGAGTGTGTGTGTGTGTGTGTGTGCGCGCGTTAGTGTGTGTGTTTGTTCCTAGCACTAAGTGTGTGTGCCAAAATTTTTCAAACCTAATTGAAAGTGCTTTTAAAAATCAATTAAGCTTGCTACTGCTGTTGTTGTTGATGTTGATGTGTATAATGTTGATGTTGTTGATATTGATGATGCTGTTGATGTTGGTGATGTTTGTTGTTGTCGATGTTGATGTTGTTGATGTTGTTGATGATGTTTTTAGTCTTTGTTCTTCTTTACTTTTTATGTTTCATTGTTTTAATAAATAACAACCTCATAATAAAAATTATTATCATTGTTGTTCACCTGCGTATGTGTGAGTGATGTGCGTGAGTGATGTGCGTAAGTGCGTGTGTGCGTGTGTAAGTGCGTGCGTGCGTGCGTAAATATGCAATGCATAAATTTGAACAATTGCTTCTAAGAACTCAGGAGCTGGAGAAGTCAAAATATTTGTTCTAACTTTTCGACTGTTAAAATTCTTCTGGCTGATGATGATGATGATGGTCGAAATGGTGGTGATGATGATGATAATGATGATGATGATGACTATAGGAGTTATGATAATGATGAAGATAATTTGTAGCGATTAGGACGATGATGTTTTTTTTAAGGATGTTCATTGAAATGATGTTTAAGTTTTCAATTATGTTAGTGAATATAATGATGATGGTGATGACGATGGCGATGATGATGATAGTGTTGATGTTGATGTTTAAAATTATATATGATAATATCTTTCGTGGTGATTATGACGATGATGATGATGAAGCCGGTATATTCGTTAAATTTTGTGTATATGAATGTGTGAAATATATATATATATATATATATATATATATATATATATATATGTATATATATATATATGTATATATGTGTGTTTGTGTGTGTGTGTTCGTGTGTGTGGTCCGTTCGGTAGTTATCAAAATACGTTTGTACTGCAGTTTGGTTCAATTGTGTGTTACTGGGTATTTTATTTGGAAGAAGCTAGGGGAAGGATTTCATTTTATGCAACTTTAAATGATAACTTGTTTGCGTGTGTGTGTGTGTGTGTGTGTGTATGGGTATGTGCTTGTGTGTATGTATATGTGTATGCGTGTGTGTATGTATGTGTATTTGTGCATGTATGCACGTGTGTTTGTTTATGTGGATAGTTTAACTTTCATGTATGTGTATACTGTGTACATACACGTATATCAAGAAATGAATAAGTTATCAAATTAATCAGCCAATTAAGCAACCAATCAATCAATCAACCAACTAATCAATCGATCAATCACACAACCAACCAACAAATCAAAATTTACTCAACCTAACAACCAATTAGATTTAAAGAAATCATTTGAGTCAGAGCCAATAATGCAGAAGGCGACGTTGGGCGAGATGGTAGAATTCCAATGCAGTCCACCGGAAGGAGTGCCTCAACCAACGGTCAGTTGAATGAATGAATGATTGAATGAATGAATGAATTATTTCATTATCTAATTAACAAGCTACATTATTTATTGAAACTTTAAATAAACATTTAATTTGATACACACACACATACACGCAAAAAATCTATGCGTATACACACACGATACATACATATACACATGCATAATGCATACACAAGTGGGCACACAAACATACATACTCAAACATACACATACACACACGCACACACAAAACCCACAAACTTATTACGTACATAAAAGAGTAACAAAAGGGTAATCCAGAAGCACTAAGATTATATTTATAGAGCCGTTATGAAATCTTCAACTGATTTTTTTTTCTTAATTATACGTGCGTATGTGCGTGCGTGCGCGCGCGTGTGGGCATGCGTGTGTATAATGCGCATTTAAGTGCTTAGATCTCTTCTGATATTTATTTAATGACTTCATGCAGATACCTCAGCAGTCAATAATTGTCTAATTATATAACCCACACTCACTATTACACACACACGTACACAAACATACACACTTACACAGGCATACAAATATAACGGCAAACCCCCAAAATGTTGTCATGTTTGGTTTGTAAATATTTCAACCTTGTATGTCATATCTGAAGGAGAAAGAAAAAAAACTATTAAAAACCCGTTAAAACGATTTAAGATGTGTTTAAGCTAGTAAATTAGGCGCTACACTAGTCGAGTTAAATAAAAATATCTTTTATCTTCGAAACTTTTCTTAACCCTTACTATTAAATAACATCTTTCATAATTAATCAGAGAGGCCATGTTGTGTACCAATACCGATATATGAACTCGCTACATTATGTAGAATGTAGATAAGTGTAGATATGGTATCACATACCTATGTGTGTTCTCATTTATGTGTGTGTACGTGTGAGGTGTGTGTGTCTGTGTGTATTTGTGTCTGTGTGTGTGTGTGTGTGTGTGTCTGTGTGTAGAGTGCCAATTAAAGTAAAACCTGAAAATAGAAATTTTTTTAGCTAAAGTGTGGTTTCATTCAATCATTATAACCATTTTATTATTGATGTCAAAACAATGCGAACGAAAGAGGAAAGGAATGTTAAAAAAATAAATGAAAGAATGAGTTAGAGTACGCACACGTACACACACACGCGCGCGCACACACACACACACGTACACACAAACACACACGTACACGCGCACACACACGCAAACACAATGCGGACGCCAACGATACAAACGCACTAGGAAAAAATCCTGACATTAAACAGAATTATTTGATGTTCGTGTTTGTACCATGCTTGCATGCAATCGTCATTGACGCTGAAAATTTTAAATTGTGTGGATTGTTTAAAAGCTAAACTAAACAATTTTTTTGACTATTTAAAATAACTTTCATTTTCTCATCTTCCTTCTCTCTCTCTCTCTCTCTCTCTCTCTCTCTCTCTCTCTCTCTCTCTCTCTCTCATTTTTATCATTGTGACAAACATAACATTTTTTTGTTGTATTGCGAAATATTTGATCCTAAATTATTTAGTTTGTATGATTTTGTTTATTTCTGTCATTAATTTTATCAAATTTTCAAACAAAATTTTGCAAATTTTCAATTCTTTCTAGAATAATATTCAAAATTATTGGCTGGAAATATGTAATTAAAATCTGAATGATCTCGTTTGGAGAAGAAGCATCTCAGTTGTTCACTCCAT